GAGGGACGGGCGTTTCTGCCACTTCTTTGTTCGGCTCAATGGAGGCAGGATTTTTAAATCCCGCGGAACAGACGCGAGCTTCCCCACCCGCAGGCCTTGCTTAGAGAGGCGTGGAAGGGAAAGGAGACTTGATCGGCTCTTCCTCCACTCCCCGAGCGTACCCACCGTATCAGACAAACGGGACCGAGAGATCTCCAAGTCAGCACAGGAGACAAAGTCTGGAGGGAAATCACTACAGCCAGGCTTAACAAACACCACCAAGAGCCATCACCGAACCTCAGTGTTTACTAGTCACCGCTGCTCTCATACGGAGGTCACGGCACCAACACCGATCTCGCGAGAACCCTCAGCCATAAAGAGACAACAACACCGGAAAAGGAGGGGTGGGATAGATGGCATCATTATCTTTCATTCCGCATTTGTTTTTATACAAAGTCACACCCCAATCCCTCTTTTTGAGTATTCTCTGACCAGAGGCTTTTGCATCCTGCTTAGTTGTTGTATCAAGGACTTGGCGGGGGGAGGGGCAGGGTTAGCATGCATGCAGAGAAGTAGATGTTATTGAGTCTATGGGGGCCAAGTGGGACCATCTTTTCCTTGTCCCCTCACAGGGGAAAGCGTCTCCAAATCATACTAGCAGCATAGGAAATTAACCTGGGCCATCTTCCCCTTTCAGACACAGAATCAGGACCCAGCATGTCAGGTGTTGCAGTGATGCAAAAGCATGGACCTGCTATAGCATAAATAAAAAGCAAGCAAAACTGCTTTGTATCCAAAAATCTAGGCCCCAGTGTTTCCCAATACGAAAGTGCTGTCAAAACCTCAATTCGGCCAGATTTAGTCTGCCTAATAAATACAGAATAAATTTGTCTGTTCTTACAATATCAAAAAAATATTGCAGATGTGGGCCAGGACTAAAACATCAAGCCTCCTTTTTTACCACAAATCAGATACATGAGTCTTACTTGACACATTTTTGCTCAAGACTATGAGTAATTTTAGTCCACAACACTGAAGAAGTCTGGACTTTTTATGTATACTGGTAAAATGGTACTGTAAAAATATATGTGACGCTGTGCCCAGTCAGATCCAGCTTATGTAATGCTATTACACATGGGAACATTGAAGTCTACATTTTGGGGGGCAGAATTTGCAGTAGCTTTATTGCCTGAGTAATAAAACTTTTGAGATTGAGCTAACAAACTGACAGACTGACAAGTTTTGGGTGATAGATATGTGATTTTGTGAGGGGTTTTTTGTTGGTTTGTTTGTTTTGTATCAGGATGGCAAAGATCCCTGTATTTTAATTTCAGGTCTGACATAATTCTCATTGTGGCCTTGTTTGAGTTACTTAAGGCTTGATTTATGAGTATAAAATAAAGAGTTGCATAGTCCTGGAAATCTGCTCCTTGCCTTTTTATCTCCATCTCTGTAGTTGAGATAACACACAACACACACCTTCCTGTAACTATATCTACTACAGCATGACACCAGAGTGTCAGAGATGCACAAATTCAGAGTTTGATTTATAGCTTGTTGGTGGTGTTACAAACGCAGTTCCAAGTGCTGTAGTCCATGTGATCTAGTTGAATCTTTGGGCGCCAGCCTTCTTGGGTTCCCTGAAACATTCAAAGATAATTAATGCAGAGGAAGAAGGGATAAAAATATAATAGTAGTGAGGAAAAAGAAAAGAATAAGATCTAAAGAAGTTCTAAGAAGAATCTTCTTTTCTAAGAAGAAAAATTAATGACAAAGAGATATAAAGACATATATAAAAGCAAAATTTAAAATGAGATTGGGAGTAGGCTATGCTAGTTTTTCTAGGACAAAACTAGAAGAAAATCAGAAGGAGGAAGAATGAAAAAAATAACATAACCATAAACATGAAATTTAAGAAAAAGTTTGAAGATGAAATATTCAAAAAGCAAATCATGATACATGTCATTTTTGATATGTGAATGCAATATCTTTGTAAAACATTAGTCTGGATGAGACTGAGCCCCATGCTTTTGCTTTATTTTCACATATGAGAAAATAGGGTAATCTAATCTAACATCTACTGTCTTTGAGGTGATTTACATAATAGTTGTCAATAGTTTAAAAATATAAAGTGGAGCATGGGAGCTATTGGAAGACAGGGTTTTTGTACTTGTTGGCATTTAAATAATTTTCTATACATAGATTGCTCTAGGATATAAATAAAGATAATTAGTTATTTGGAGGTTTGTTTATTTTTGCATTTCAAATTCTTTCTCAAATCTTAAAAATTAAGGAGATAGACCTAAATATTTTATAGTTTGTCAGCAGGAGACCATTTATTTTTATTGAATGTCATCAACATGGGTAAAACTTGACAGAGAAGAAGCCAGAGGTGAGCTTGGAGGACAAAGAGAAGAATATATGGGATGCATGAGGGTTAGAAGCATAATATGAAAAAAAGGAAGCAAAACGAAGCAGGGGATGAAAGAAATGTATGTCACAGATTGAAGGAGGAGTTGTGGAAGAGAAGCAGAGAACCAGGAGGGAAAAAAAGAAAATCTTTGTAAGAGATTATTTTTCAAATATACTGTAGGAATGATAGCCTCTATATGATTTGCAGATGCTGTAGTGCATTGCTGGATTGTTTCCTTCACATTTTACTCAGATGTGCCCATATCTCTTCCAAGGAACAAGAAGAGTAGAAGGTTAAAAAAAAATCCCATTTGTCAGAGTCCTGAGGGTATAAACAGACTTGGCAACTGTATTTTCATATTTCCATATTTCAACTAATCAACTCCCTAACTAAAATACAGTTCAGTACAGAGCTGGTAAAAGTGAGGTGAATCTTTTTTTACACTGCCTATAATGAGAATTGAATGGGATTCCAAAGCGATTTCAAAAACAGAAACGAGAGTGAAAAAGCTTTTGGAGCAATCATCTCCATTCAGTCTTTCAGGCTGTCATTCTTTAATCTAAATTGGAGATTTGTAGTAATCTTTTAAAACAATTGGAAAACTAAGGCTCAAAAAATAGTCATTATAAATGTCTCATGTAATAGATCTAGCTGTAAGGTTCTTTTATCTCAAGAGTCTAACTGTTAAAATGAAAGGAAATGACCTAGAGATTTCCTGCTAGTGAATATACAGTAGGAACGCTCTATTGGTTATTTAAAATAACCTCCAGAGGGAGGATACAGCTCTCTCAGTCTCTGGCTCTGGGGTATACCTGGCACCTCTCCCTGAAGTTGAGGAGCTCTGTTGCCAAGTTAAAGAGTTGCAAGAGGAAGTCAGCACCAAAAATGATGAAAAAGAGATTAACAGGATCTTCTCTTAGATTCTGCAGACATAAGAGCCTGAACTCCTAACTGCAAGAAAGGAAGAGTAGCCAGAGAATGGGATTGTTTGAGTGGCAGAGACTCCCAAAATGGGGAAGGCTGCAGGCTTGTGACTTCTGGCAATGTGAAGCAGGCTCTTTGTCCACCTGCAGATCTATAACTGAAGAATAGGTTCAGTGCCCTGGTACCAGATGAGGGGGAGAAAGACATGTTTGGGAAAGCATCAAAGCTGTCCAAGTTTGGACCACACATCAATAAGAGGAAGCAGTAAGTGATAGTAGTGGGAGACTCCCTCCTGCAGGAGATAGAGGCCCACGTCAGCTGACCTGACTTGCTCTCTAGGGAGGTTTGTTGCTTGTCTGGGATCTGGGATGCTGCAGAGACTGTGGAGGCTTAGGCTTGCCCAGCCCTTGGACTATTGCACCCTATTGCTCATCCACGTGGGCACCAATCACATTGCCAAGGGGACCTTGAGCATATCAAGAGTGACTATGAGGTTCTGGGAGCAAAGGTCAACGGCATGGGGGCCAGGTAGTTTTCTCCTTGATGTTGCTGATGAAGGGGAAAGGCTGGAGGAGTGGATCCTGCAGGCCAACACCTGGTTGCACAGCTGGTATTGATGATAGAGATTTGGTTTTTACAACCACATGATCCTCTTTGAGGATCAAAGAATGCT